ACCTGTATATGCCAAATTTCCTTATAGTGCATCTCAAAAAAAAAAAAAAAGTTTTTTCAAACAGTCTAAAGGCTGCTTGTTTTGCAGAAATATATTGACGTTACTTATTTAGTTTTTTCTCCTCCCACAAAACTATCATTTCTCACTGGACCCTCCAGGTGCTGCAAGAAACAAGTCCGAAGTACCCAAAAATTTTTCTTATGTTACCTTATGAAGATTGTAACAAGATTGTGCCAGCTTCTGACGAGTAGTACTAGTTAGAATAAACATCTCATCTTAAAATGATTTTTTTCTCCTATGTGCAAAATTATTTGTAGTGATGAAACTTTATAACCACCAATATTAAGTGATTATGACAAATGCTCAGTAGGGGACACTTCCATGAACTTGCATTTTCCTTTTCCCTTAAGTCATCTTTACAAATTGGCGTTTTAGTTACGATTTCTCCAAGCCAGAATGTTCTTAAGGTATACGAAAAACAGCACCATCTGCATTGCCTTTTCTCAAATGCTGTTGCTATACAAAAATAACAGTTTGTTCAGCAGAATGCAAGAGTTGAAACCAGAAAAGTAATACTTTTTTTCCTTTGTCCTTTTTTTTTTTTTGCATATGGGGAAAAAATAAGGCTCAAGTGCATCTATAAAAAAATAGCAATAGAACTTCTTGTATGCAGTCTGTGCACTATTTCCATATGATAAACTGTAGAAAAAGGCAACATGGAGTTTTGTCCCTGTAGACTTAGAACAGTAGAAATTCATAGCAGCTCATTCTTAAAATTGGCACCCAGGTGAATCCCACGCTGGCTATCCCATTCTGTAAATTGAAGCTTTCAAAACACAACTGCTATAAATAACTGCTACTGGGGAGAACTGTGAACAAGGCACATGGATCTCCTAGAAGACAGGTAACTTTGTTGAAGTCAGCGTGCATGAATTTATGTCCTGGGTATGAGTTGCACGATGCAGAGAAGGTTCTGAAGCACTTCGGTTAATTTTAGGTAAAGAATGTTGCAGCAGTTCAATGGAAGACAATATCTAGAAGAGGAAAGGGAAAGAAAGGGATAAAGGTTTTGGCTTTCAGAAATTCCACATCCATATAGACTATATTTTGAATATTATATTCAGAATATGAACATTATAAATATTAATGTAATAAATAGACAAAAGAAGAAGAAAACATGGGTAGATATAAGGTTAGTTTCAGTTGATGATAAAGGTGATACTTTATGAGCTGGCAATTTCTTGTACTTTGAAAATTGAAACATAGATCATCATTCATTAGAATATAACATAGCCATCTTCTAAATCAAAGAGTTCAGTGACAGAGCAGAATTTTTATTTTTTGACTTGCAATTCACAGAATGTGTGTGCCACTAATTTTTTTCTTATCTTGTTTTATTCAAATGTATCATAAAACTATACTCACCTGTGGAAAAAGAGGTCTTTCTTCCCTCACTTTTTTCACACAATCTGCTACAAGCCTCTTCATAGCTTTTGGACAGTTTTTGTAAAGTTTACTGAGATCAGGTGATGCATAACCACGACCAACCATGAAAATGATCTACGAATCACAAATAAATAGATTTTTGTAAACAGAGTTTGTCAACTTCATAATAAACTACTCATCATTCTCATGGGGAAAAAATGAAGAGCAAATAAGCAGCTGTTCAACTCCGGGTCGGAGCTTACACTGCCCTTTCATACAAGAAGATGCCCATCCAATCCTTTGCATTTGCCAGTAGGGCTTGGAAAGGCCCTGGGATTGCCATTACTACTGCACTAAATTAAGTTCCACCAGGATCACTGCCAGGTTCAGAAAAGAAAAATGCATTCTCTGAAACAACCTGACTCTAGCAGGACACTGCCTGGAAACCCAATTCTTTCAGATGCATTATGGCACAAAAAAGTGGATGAAAGTTGATGGAAACACAAACTATAGCTATTACCATCTTGAGCAAAAGTGAAAAACATTCTAAACCATTCAAGGCAGGGAGAAAATACTATAGAAGGATGTTCTAATGCAGAGCTAGCCTATATTGTACCAATTCAACCCTGCTAGTACAGAATGGAGGTATAACCATCCTGAAAAATAGAACTGCTAAAGCATTCACTTTCTCCTTAGAAAGAGTGCAGAAGCTAACCAAGGAGTAGGAAATCCCTACCAATCAGAGCATAAATAAATAAGAATTGCTGTACTCAACAAGTTCAAAGATTAGGAGTTTCATGTCTTGACTAGCCTTCCAAGTCCTTCTCAAGGGAGATAGATACCTCTGTTCAGCAACAAAGGAAGCTGTGCTCCCTAAAACTTCCCCATGGGACAGATATTCTAGACTCAGCCCATGGTTGGCAGAGGGACTCAGTGTCTCTGCCAAGCAAGGCATGAGGCACCTCCACACATACATTGCCTTTCATCCCTGAAGGAAAAAGGCAGGAACATACCAACTTTACTTCTGCTTAGCAGCAACATTTTCAGTCTATTTATTAATTAGTAGCCGAGAACAGCCCTTCACATCCTCCATTTCGTGCCCCAAGAAGACTTGCTGGTTTGGTTGTCAAATTTACCCACAGTTTTTCTCCCTTGGGAACTTGAAATGAGTGGGAATGCTTCCAGGACAATCCCTAACTCTGCAGCTTCCATTTGGGAAGAAGGCCACTCATTTATTATGCTCACTAGAGGAAAGTGTCATATTTGCCATGGCAAGTGAAAATGTTGAAGCCTAGCATGCTCTAATCGCTCTCTTCAGATACTGGATTAGTTAGATTTTTTACTATTTTAATTCCATCATATCTCATTGCTCTGAAGTAGTTTCCCATCTAGCATAATTATTCGTAAGGCATAGCGTAAGGCAGAATGCAAACAAAAAAAGAAGAGTACACAAGCACTTTGGTATCCTGCTTCTAGTCTCCGATTAACAAGAGGAATTACTAAACCAATTCTGGAAGACCAAAGAGAAATAAAGGGAATTCTTAGAACATACAGTGTGAAAACACCAATGGGCACAGTTAGTTCAGGGTAGGAGAACTCTAATTCTCCATTTGTATCATGTAATCATGTACTGGGCTCACAAAGAGAGCGCACAGGACAAAGGTGATGACATTACACTGACCTAACTGAAGTACTGTCAATGGAAACCATTGCAAAATTATTGAGAAGGCACACACTATCATATCAGAGAGATATGATCTAAATACAACTCCTAACTATATATTTCTTTGCTCTGTTACTTTTCATGGAAAATCTATATAACTTGAAAACAAAACTTGATCCAAAAATATAAAGCATTCCATCAAAGAATAATAATTTCTCACCTGATCTCTATTGTTAATATGTGAATACGGTAACTCTCCTGTCATCAGTTCATATAGTACTATTCCATAAGAATAGACATCTGATTGAAAGCTGAATGGATTGCTATCTTGCATTCGAATTACTTCTGGTGCCTTTATAAAACATAAAATGAATTTTTTTGAAAAACATCATACCAACCCAATCCCAAAAACCATACCTGATAACCATAACTTCACAGTCTAGAAGAGTTAAACTCTGAAAATAACTTTCTAATGCATCTAAATTGGGTCCAAGACCATACGCACATGCCCATCCACTATTCCCTTTCAAGGTAAGTAAGCAATGTTACGCAGTGTGGAAAAGGAATGAGAAGTAGCAGGTCAAAAAAACTAAAGGTATTAGGTAAGAAAAAGATCATGAAGCATAACTTAAGCTAGTGTATGCCAAAACCATTCACCTTGTCTTACATTTTTTTTTCTCTTTATGATATCTGTCAGTGAACGACGGTTGAGCAGCAAATTACATTAAGACTATGGACTTCTACACAGGCTTTTCAAAGGAAGGATCTAGCGTTGCTCAAAAATTACGCCTGTAGCGTTGGATGAATACGGAAGGCTGGGGCCGGATCTCTCCCCAGCAACAGTCTTATGCACGGATGTAATGGAGGGTCGAACATTCTGAAGGCAGGGGTGGGAGATGTCAATGTATGCATAAGTGCAAGCTATATAGTTTGGAACTGTACTTAAACCAGGTCATTGAAGCAAAATTATTACTTTGTTTTAGAAGCCCTGTATCCTATAAACACAAACGTACTATTAACACTGCAGCATCAGAAAACACATGATTCTTTCATAACAAGGAGAGCAGCTATAATAGAATAGAAAATACTGTATCTTGGGGATTAAAGGTTAAGATAAAAAAATTTTTTTCAAATTTGTTGTACATAAATAGTCATTAATGTTAGATGAATGACGTATAATTTAATCAGTAATTTTTTTCCTTTATCCTTGAGACACCTTACCATCCAGAGAACAGATCCTGTAGGCTGTTCTACCTGTTGAGAACCACTCCATCTGGATTTGACTGTTGCCAAACCAAAGTCTCCTATCTTCACTGTTCGATCTTCATGAAGAAATATATCTACACAATTGTTAAGGAACACATCTAGACCATAATTTGAATTACCAAGCACTGTCCTGCTTGCAAGTAGGTCAGCCAATGTTTTTAGGCTGTCCATACTGTTAATTGCAATATTTACAACAATTATTTATATATTTTTTAAATTTATATATCAAATTTGTCACCGCCCATCTTGTTAAAAAGCGACTCTGGGCTGTTTACAGAAAAGATTAAATCAGTTAAAATACAATATAAAAACAATCTTAAATAATAAATAATAAATAAATTCAAAGAATGATGGGATTTGGCGAATAGCTCAGGGAGCATCATCAGGGCATCAGCCACCCCCAAGATTGATTAGTGCTCTTATCACCCCGTGCAAGCTGGCAGAGCCAGGTCTTTAAACCTTTCCAGAAAGCCAGGAGGGTAGGGGCCCACCACACTTCTGGGGGAAGAATATTCCAAAGGGCGGGGGCAACAGCAGAGAAGGCTCTCCTCCTGGGGACCACCAGCCAACATTCTCTCGCTGACGGGATCCACAACATGCCTCTCTGTCTGACCAGGTGAGACAGGTTGATGTGACCAACACCTTGGATTGGACCCGGAAGCAAACTGGCACCCAATGCAGCTCCCGCAGTGAAGGTGTTATATGTGCCATCCTTGCACATATAACCTGCATGGTCCGTGCAGCTGCATTTTGAACCAGCTGTAGCTTCCAGATACTCTTCAAGGGTAGCCCCAAGTAGAGCGCATTGCAATAGTCTAACCGAGAGATGACCAGTGACTGACTGGAGAGCCTCCTGATCCAAGAAAGGGCGTAACTGGCACACCACACAAAGGTGGGCAAAGGCCCTCCTGCCCACGACTACCACCTGCTCCTCAAACAGGAGTTGTGAGTCCAGGAGGACCCCCAGTTTAATGTATATATAAAATATATAATATTAATTGAAGGTGCCACGTACTGTAAGAATTTCTATGCTTCTTTATCAGCTTCCAACAAGATAACTACCATTTTTGCTTGTGTTTTGCCACATCAAAATATCATTGTTTGCCCTTCTTCCCACCTACAAAACCCAAGACCAAATCTCCAAGTAGGCCAGCAACACTTTTCCTCTTATTACTGTCATTTTGATTTGGGAGAAAGACCAAGAAATAAATTGTTTAATGTTTACATGACTGCTTTACATAGATGGGACTGGCACTCACTATTCTTAACTGATTCACCATAGGATTTACCAATGTTATGTAACAAGTTTTATTGATCACTTTTATTATTTTGACTTCTAGAGTATTTAAATTGTCTATTTTTGCAAAGAAGTACTGTTTTAAGGGCATTGTATTTCCAAAAAAATACTGCATAAAAACTTGTCCATAAGCAGGAAGACTTAGGAACAATTAGATATGAGCACTTTCCAGTTAGGGACTATATGCAGTACTGCTTATGCTGTGTGAGTTTTGAGTAATACCTCAACTAAAATAGCAATTTACAGCCGTAAGTGGTATCAACATAACTAATGAATACAAAAGGATTCATTTGTTTTGTCAACAGCAGTAATCTTGATCTTATGAAATCACTACCATTAGTTAGCAATGCCAAGCTTCTTTACTGTCTTAATCAAATAACTATCAGAAATCTCTCAAGTAGAAAGGATACTATTTGATTTCATGTCTCTGTGTATTATATTCTTTGCATGCAAGTAGCTGTAAATAGAATTAGATAAATTTGAGCTATTTCAAAAGCAATAAGCAACTGAAGTAATTCCCCCAAAATGTTTTAGATGAACAATTCTATCTGTGTAGAATCAGATAATGCTATTTCTTGCCCTACAAAGAGAAATACAGGTAGCCCTCGGTTAACGACCACTCCTTCAGTGAGTATTCATAAGTCACTCCCACTCCCACTGCTTTTTCTCCTGAGGAGCTTGGGCACCCTCCTGCCCCCTGCAGTAGGCACCCCCACCCAGCTGCACTCCTGCCATGCCATAGCAGCCACCTGCGAGCCACTCAGGACTTGCTATTTCCTGCCAGCTTCCCCACTGATTTTGCTTGCGAAGTCAGTGGGGAAGCTGGCAGGAAGTCATGAGGAGGTCCTTGCTTAATGACCCACAATCCTTGCTTAACAACGGCAACCGAGGACTGCCAGGATTGCTGTTGCTAAGCGATGTGGCCACATGACGTTGCGTTTTTCAATCGCATTGCTTAGCAACAGAAATTCCAGTCCCAATTACCATTGTCAACTGAGGGCTACCTGTAACTAAACCCCACTTGCTCTGGAGTACTGCCCAGAGTTTCAAATCTATCAGGAAGCACAAAAGGCTTTGCCAAAGACTTAAGATAACATTCCCTCTATAATCATTTTTGTTCTACTGAGCAGTCAACCTCACTTTAACAGCTTCTTAATGCAACAAGTTCTGTCATCATTAAGCCTACTCACTCCATTCCTTGTGCTGTCTGTCTTGCAATATCAATTCGCTGTAACATTGGAAACTTGGTCTCCTGAACGTGCAGGTGTTTATACAGGCTACTTCCTTCACACCACTGTGTGACAATGGCCAGATTATCTTTAGTCATGTAGCCCATAAATAGTAGAATATTAACATGTCGAGTTTTCCTACCAGAGACAAATAAGAAAACATGTTCAGCTGAAATTTAAACACCTTAAAATCTATAAAAAATGCTGGAAGTTCAGCTTCACATGGTTATACAACATAATGTAAAACAAATGAGATCCGGATGAACTTCTAAACTAAATCCTCAGTGTTGACATTTAGTTTTAGTTTTGCTGTAAGTCCAGCACAATATCCTTTTAAGTTACCTGGACTGCATGCATTAGTTTATGGTAGGACTCTGTTCACCCACATGCTAGGTGGTACCCCTTCATTAGTATAGGGGTACTTATCAGTTTATCTCATGGCTTTTGGTTTATGAAATCTCACAGAATTCATTTTGTCTCCTATCTCTTAATATCTTGATAAAAATCACAGATAAGAACACAGAAAATTTTATACTAATGATATCAGTACTCCTGCACCAAAATTCAGGCTCATTTTTGAAGCAGAGCTTTGAACACACAGCCCATTATGTGCAACTGCATAAGTACCCAGGACAAATACAGTTTGGGCGCAGGCTTTAATACAGTCACTTGCCAAGTCTGGTTGCATATGTAGATGATACAGCCATTATCTCAACTGAGAAGAACATTAAGATTAACTGCTTGGTTATTAACTATAAAAAAAAACGGTCTTTCAAAGAGACCCTCTCAATATGGCAAATTAACAGGAAAGTTATGAAACATTTTAAGAGCTTGAAATATCTCAGAATTGTTTTCCATGCTATGAGTACTTGAAGAGTTCAGTATTTGAAAGACAAGGAGAAAGCTGCCATCTTAAGTTGTTTTGTATGAAAGAAGGTTATTACATACTGGGTAGATTAAAAGCGTTCTTATTTTTGAATATTTTAAGGCATATATTTCAAATTCAGTAATGTGTCCCAAACTCAGTCCTTTGGGTTCAGGCTGGAATGGCATCAATTAAAATTTGAGTTCAGATAACAAACATTACCAATGGGTTAAATTAAATACTTTCAATCTAAGCAATTTCGCTGTTCTGACTTTTTAGGATAAATTTCAGTCCTTTGGTGGAAATTACTTAGCTGAACTCTAAGGTATCATAGACTTTCATTTAATACACTTATCTCAATAGGTTTTGAACAGACCAAATCATTCTTCAAGGAATGTGGCAGGGACATTGATTTACAAAATTATTTCAGCCAGGTTTATCCTTACTTTACCCCAGTGAAACTAGAAAATAGTATTGCACCTGCCCATCATTTAATATTACATCCACAAATACCAGAAGAGTCTTCATGTTAGCCCATTATAACACCTTTATATCTGTTCTTCCAGAGACTAAATATTCTTAAAGAATAGTGTCTCTATGCATATAGTGAGGGGGGAATCAAAACTGTGGGGTGGTTATTGCTGTGCTGTTTCTTTGTAGAGATAATCAGGCTATATATATTTCCTCAATCACCAAACGAAATTAGGCAGGACTGGGGATGATGACGACAATCTTGCATGAACTGAGGAGGAGGTGGAGATCTCTGGTAGTAAACTTTGCTTCAAGTGGGAGAAGTCCAAGTATTGCTTTATGTTAATATAATTTTATACGTATTTTGGTATATTACCTTAGTTATATTATGTTTACATTTTGATGTATTTATTTTATTATTGTTGGTTGCTTAGGTCTATAAAGGCAATAAACTAAATTTAAAATTCACTACAGTTTAAGCAACAATATTGAGAGGATAATTTTCAGCAACAGAATGTTTTCTAGCAATGACATTTTGGAAGTTTCTCAATTTTATTTTTCAACATAAAATTCCAGATACCTGGAATATGATATTATATCATATAAATTCAAAATTGTCACTGCACATATAAAGCACAGTGCAGATATGTGAACAAATCATGCTGATTTCAATCCCTTTATTTTTCCTCTTATCTGCTATCTGTTACTTAGATATCTTCCCTTGAAATATATATTGAAATTATTACATTAACAATTTTATTTTTTTCATCCTGGAGATCTATCCATGTGGGTCATGAAGAGTCAACATTGACTTGATAATACATAAACAATCAATAAATCAATCAATTTTCTTTTTTATTCTCCCCACCAGCACTTTGTACTGTATTTAAAAGCCTAGTAATGATTTACCTTAATACAGCTACTTCATTTCGAAAGGCCTGAAATTGTTCTGGGGTTGGATCTACAACTTTTAGTATCTTTACTGCTACATCTCCTGCAAAAATAATTAGCAATAAGCATAACATCAAAATAATTCATGGAAAAGTCTCAAGTGCAGAATATTTATGTACTTATACAACTGCTGTATAGTAAGGGAGACCTTGAAAAGAATGTGCCAGTTACAGTGGACAGTAAAGCTAAAAGTTTCACTAGTCTGCATGAGGCTACTTCATAAACATTTATGCTTCTTGACAGAGATCTACAAAATGGACTTTCAGACCGAAATCTACATATGCATTATTTTTCCCTCGGAGACCGTACCAGTTTAGATAAAAGCAAAATTGTTTGAATGCAAAATGCTCTGTTTTTATTTTGAAACAACCCATTTCAAATGTGGAATAAGCTGTTCTGATTCTTTCTTAAAATGTATTCAAGCTGTCTGAATCAGCCCTGTTTTGACTTCAAGACATGGTTTTGAGCTCTAAACATCCTAAATGATTGAGATGTGCATTTCACATTATAAACAGCTATTTTGTTCTCAAAACAAGTCACTTCAAATTCTAAATATTTCAAATGCAAAACATTTGCATACTACTAAACACATTATTCTGTTAACTAGTATTTTAAAACTGTTACATTAAAGAACCCATTGTTATAGACAGGCCTTTGATTGTGGTGATCACATCAAGCGAATGTGCTTAGAAAAATGGGAATCCCAGAACATCTCATTGTTCTCATGAGAAACATATACAGAGATCAGGAAGCCGCAGTACAGACAGAACATGGTGAAACAGACTGGCTACAGGTTGGCAAAGGAGTGAGACACGGCTGTATAAGCTCCTCTTATTTATTCAGCCTATATGTTGAATATATATTAAGGGGATCTGGATTGGAAGAATAAGCATGGTTCTAAAATTGGAGGAAGAAACATCAATAGCCTTAACTATGACAATGACACTACTCTGATAGCCAAAAACACAAAGAATCTGTAAGCTTTAGTGATAAAAGTCAAGAAGTAGAGTGAAAAGCTGGGAGTAAAATTAATATAAAGAAGAACAAATTAATGACAATAGGTAACCTGTTTTTAATTGTTTTTATAGTTCTAGAATTATTCGCTGCCCAGAGTCACTTGGTTGAGATGGGTGGCTACAGAAATTAAATAAATAAATAAAACCAGCCTTAGAATTGATAATGAAGCTATTGAAGTTGTAGTTAGTTGATCCTAAAAGGCAGAAGCTATCAACAGTAAAGGAATATGCTGCAGACTAGCACTTGTAGAGCAGGCATGAGGGCCTTGGAAAAGATATTTAGATGCTGTGATGTGTCTATACCTACAAAAATCAGAATAGTGCAAGCAACAGTATACCCTCTGACACTCTATGGAAGTAAAAATTGGAATTTGAAGAAGCAGGATAGGAAGAATATTGAGACATCTGAACTTTGGCATCAGAGAAGACTACTGAGAATACAGTGGTCAGCCATGAAAACAAACGGATCACTGAACAAATCAACCCAGGGTTCTTCCTCAAGGCACAAATGACTAGGCTCAAATTATCCTATTTTGGACACATAATGAGAAGACCTAGCTCTCTGGGGATGGCTTTAATGTTGGGAAAGGTGGAAGAAAACAAGATGACCAGCAACAAAGTGGGTGCACTCAGTTACACTAGTGATGGGTGCACCAATGGAAAACCTGAAAGACCAAGTTAGGGACAGATCATTATGGAGGTCAGATCATCTATGTGGCTGCTAAAAGTCAACACTGACTTGATGGCACATAATCAATCAAAAGTTAAAAGAACATAGCTATATATAGTAAATGATTATGTAAAAACACAAATTCATCTCTTTGCAGATGGTATGCTTAGTATTCTAAGAAATCCAAACAGAAACAAATATCAGTTGTACTTCAAATGGTATACAGATCAGAATCTAAAGATCTCCATCGGTTTTATAACTTGAAGGTTCTTTCAGTTGGTGAAACAGCAATCTTCTCCCATTCCCTCCCTCACCCTGAATGCTGCCAGCCAACACTGTTGAAATATAGAAAATTCTCAGAACAAGTTGCATAATGGCCTAGACTGTTCAATTAAAAAAAGCAGTAGGAGGTCCCACACAGGATACCCAAGCACATGGGTGCTGTTAAGTAGCTCTTTGGATCCTAGCCATTCTTTCAAATGCCGTATTCCTGGAAATACTCCCAGTCTTAAAAGGTTAAAACAACAGCACATATACTTTCCCCTCATCAGAATAATGGAAAGGATGTGTTTTAGTACAATTTTTATGAAGGAAAATGTCAATAATTGTCTTAGCCACTTTGAGCAGGGAAGTATCCTCTAGCAAGTGTAAGGCATAGCTAGGCTTCCTCTCAACATGAAGCTAGGCCAAACCAGCAACTCCACTTCCTCCTGGTCTTTTCTGCTCTGGACTGGGCAAAGGTTGAATGCTCTTGTTTAAAGACAGCAAGCATCAAACCTGGCTAGCGTGCATCTAACAGCTCTTTTTGAAAGCCTGCCCAGAGAAGAGGGAGAATGTCTCACCTGCCGTTTTCAGCCAGGCAAAACTCACGACTCCCATAAAACAAATCAGTACTGAATATTCGAACTACTGATTCAGAAAAACTGCAGTGACACCTCACTGACAATACAAGGCTGGAAGACCAAAACTGAAGAATATGCAGCAATGGAAAAACTGGCTGTACATTCGTAGCAGAAGGCTAATTGAATTCAAGCAGGAATGGCTCCTTTATATACAACACAACACACAGCAAGGCAAGTTAAGACACTTAAAATATGGTTTCTGAAGGAAAAAAGAAACTGCTGAAAAATAATTAAAATGATCTGAACAGAAATGAGCAATAATCATAGAAGTTTAAAGCACAGAATAAAAATACTTAAGTAGCAGTTAGTGGCGGGGGGGGGAAGAACAAAAGAGGAGCTGCTTGAATGCTTCTTCTTATAGATACTTTTTCTGATTTTTTAAAATTTTATTTTTCTTAATTGTTCTTAATTGTTATATTAAATCTCATATTTTGAATTCTCACTTCAACTCTCACCTCAGTATAAATCTTATGCAAGAGCAATAATAATAATATTAATTTAAATAAAGTTCAATGACAACATAGATGAGTTAGGGATTACACTGCTATGTATGTACTTATAAGTATCTTTTCTCTTCCTTTCCCCCATTTTTTCTTTCATTGTTTTGTTTCTCCTGTTGCTTTTTACGTCAGTTTTTCTTAAAATGAAAAAAAAAAAAGCAATGATAAAACAACTCAGATCTCTGTATAACTCATTAAAAATGATCTACATCTGAAAAGCCTATGGCATATATCTGATAAAGTTATATGCTTAGAGAACATTTTGCTATGCTTTTAAGTTAGCAAAGTATTTCTCAGTCATGAAGTCTAGCCTATTTTTATTTTGGCAAAATAAGAAATAATCTTTCCTTTTGGGTTTAATCATTGCACTTAGAGTAGTATATCTACAATGAATTTAGAGAAGAAAGCTGAGATAACAAAGAGAATTGTGCAACTGACCTAGATAGGCTCCAGTACTACCCTAAAACACGAATTATAATTTAATTCTAGGAAAAACAAAAACTAACCAGCTTTGCTTGTTTTTCTATCCATAAATTTTTAAGCAAAAAAAAAAAATGTAGAACCATAGGATGTTAGCTTTGTTTTTAACCTTAATTAAGGTTTGTTTTTAACAAACCTTCTTAACCTCTTAAGAGCTTGAGAAACCAATATAGATCATATCTTCCCCTCCCAAAGACCCATGAATTGTGAGCTCCCTTTAGCCTATTTTGGTCTGCTGTATTCATCTTTTCTTTTAGCTTTTTTCCTTTTTATATATTTTTTTATCT